TTCCGTAGTTGAAATACTTTTCGTCTGATTGTCACTGTGTTACAGGCTGAAAAATACCCAATGTAGATTATCGAGTATGCAGAGTCGAATAATGATAAATCACGAGCAGATGATTCCTGATTTTATTCACCATCTGAGCTCATTTTCTGTCTCAACTTTCTCAATCTTAAGGGTCTAACCTCAGATATGTTTGATCTTTGGTTTCTAACGTGAATTTTGAAAAAAAATAATTTTTTCTAAATTTTGATTTTAAATTTAAATTATAAAAACTTAACTTTTCTAAAAATGAAAAGTAATTATTTTCGAGAGCGAGAAAGCCATGTCGAGGTCTTGTATATGCCATTTTCGTAAACGGTTGACCCAAAACCAAGCATTAAAGCCTCGAGACTTAAAGGGTTAATACCATCAACGGATTAATCGAACCACTGATGAAAGATGAGTACTGAACACTTTAGCGGACGCAACTGCAATATTTGTTATTACCAGCGAACAAAATGATATAAATTTTATTAACGAATGATTCACGCGTTATTATTGACTCCACAGCAAATATCAACTGTTCGACAGAGAATTTCACGGGGTAAAAAATGATATATGAGATAGCCTTAAGGAAATGTAACTGAGTAGTCTAAGATACCTCGCGGCATTCTATAGTGCTTTTTCACGTAACTGCAGTCGATTTACCACTAGCTATAAAGGGCGTGAAAGTTACCAAAATATTCCGGTGAAAAATCACTATAGAATGTCGGGAGACGTCTTATTTTGCTCAGAATTCTTCGCTCTATCAGGCTAAATGATTTCCAATATTTTCTGACCAAAAACTAAGGACTTGATTTATGCTCTTGGAGTTCTTGTGATTATGACACACTGTACTGCTTAGATAACACCCAAAAGCTTCTTTTGCATATCTTTAATGACTGATCCCACCTATCTGGATATTGTGACCAGCTTTTTTAGATTGCTTTGATTCTTGGGTTGATAATAATAGTAATTTTTTTTCTTTATAACAAACTGTTAAACTTTTTAATGGTCATCCTTTTCTCTTCAGTTCTTTTTCATTTAAGCTTATTTCTTTGTAAACTTAATTAATTTCACCTATCGGTTTAGCAATCACATTAATATTGTGACTTTCTAACGTTGTTAATTCACCTAATTGTGTTTGACTTAAATAATCTTGATTCAATGATACATTCAATTGTTTCGGATCATTTTTCGTATGTTTACTGTAATATATTGATAAGAAGAATGAAATTATTTTCATACAAATAGGCATGATGAATATTTATCCAACTACCTAGTAATTGTTTAGCGGTTGTATCACAGATACAATGAAAATTTTCCATGGCATGCTCAGTTAATTGATTTATGGTTGTAAACAGGGCTGGACGACTCCGAGTCTGGACTGGAAGATTTTTTGGTGGGCTCGGACTCGAAGTTGTGTTTTTGTATTTCGAGTCTGATCGATTCAACTTTTAACATAAAAGCACCCCGAGCACGTGTCTATCTCCGAGCACACATCTCAAAATGCCATGGAATATAGGTAATCGACTACGCTGAGGATAGCGGCAACATTTGTTTTTGTGTAGAAATGAATATAACTTCGCCAGAGGCACTTTTGTGAAAAACCGGTTTTTCGCCTGTTACTAGCAAAAATTAAGACCCTTTTATGTCGATGAAATCTTATGCTGACTCAAGGAAATTTTTTGACTACGGAC